CTCCACAGGTACCTCAGGTAACCCCACCTCCACAGATACCTCAGGTACCCCCACCTCCACAGATACCTTTACTACCCCCACTTCCACAGATACCTTAGGCACCCCCACACTCATAGATACCTCAGTTACTGTCTACTCCCAAAGAGACCTCAGGCATCACTACTCCCACAGGCATCTCAGCTACCTCACCCCAGATACCTCAGCTATCCTCCATCACCACAGAGACCTCACCTATCCCCAGCTCCACAGACATCTTAGCTACCCCACACCCTCACAGAGACCTCAGCCACTCCCACCCCCACAGACACTTTAGTCACAGCACCACCCCCATAGATACCTCAGTCAAAGCAGAAATTAAGAGCATGTATGGCTCTTGTAGAGGACCCAAGTTCTGTTCCTAGCACCCACATTAGACAGCTCGCAACTGCTTGTAACTCCAGCTCTTTGCTTCTGGTCTCGACAGATGGAAACTTCAAAACTCACTTGCACAGTACCCACACCCTTGCCCCATAATTAAAAATAAAGTAGATATTAAAAATATTCAAAGGATATTTGACAAAAATCAAAAGGAAAAAAAAAGAGTAAGGGAGGGAGAAACACACACGCACACACACACACACACACAGAGACAGAGACAGAGAGACAGAGAGAGAGGGAGAGAGAGAGAGAGACCCAGAGCTGAGCTCAGATTCCATGGACCAGATTTGTATGTGGGCGATGCCTCCATGGGTAGAACACTGAGTGAGCACTGGGCCTGAGTTTGGATCTTGTGGACAAATGCATCAGCAATTCTAGTGGTGAGGTGGGAAGCAGACAGAGTGTGTGTATGCAGTATGTGTGTGCTGTGTGTGTGGTCTGTGTACGTGTGTATTTGGTGTGTGTTTATGTGGTCTGTATGTGTGGTGCATGTGTATGTGATGTGTGTGTGTTGTATGATATATATATATATACATATATACACACACACACACACACACACACATATATATATATATATATATATATATATATATATATATATATATATA